GGTACATGTCTATATGCCTACTGGTACATGTCTATATTACTAGCTCCTCAGTTTTGTTTTATTTTGTTTTGAAGTATTCAGGCAGGACTTCTGTATTAGGGTTGTTTATAGAAATGGGGATCTGGTATAACCCTACAAAGATATGTGCAAGTTAACACTAGTGCTTATCATTTAGGGAGGGGTGTAGCTTATTATAACACTGAAAGACAAACATGGATATGATGCTTGAAAACCATGCAGGAAAAGAACTGATTATCCATTGTGGCATTGAGCCAGCTCAGGGAACACTACACAGCTAATCGGTGGAAAGCTACTCCTGCATCTAATGACAGAAGGGTTTGGGAAACTGGACAGGCTGACAAGAAAAGACAAATCAAGATTAATAAATCTTGGGGTAAATAAAATTAATACATAACTATTAATAAATAAAATATTAAATGAATGAATGTTCAATTAATGATGTGCTGCTCACAGGGAGCTGGCGGGAAAAGCTTTTTCTCTACTCCTGAGCTACTGAGCTAGTTGATAGGCATCTGAGCTGAGGGATATGCCACTTCCCCAGGCTGATGTTGAGGGCCGGTCATCCTGAACTTCTGGGAAAAGAGAAGGCTGGTGGGGCAGTGAATCAGGGAGTGATGATGGGACAAATGACACATGAGATCCGGCAGTCAGCCCACTCACACCTGTAACTTTCATGCTTGAGCAATGCCCTTTGAACAGACAGATGCACACAATGAGCTCTAGGGTACATGTGAACTTGCAGGAGAGACTACAGCCTCGCCCAGTGGGAAGAGATTTTTCACTCTGAAGGAAAGCCAAGTGAAGAATTAAGGCATGGTCCTGAGATGAGGGGAACAAAAACTTTACCCTGTAACAGGGCTTGTGTTCAGTTACTATAAGAAGTTACCACTCACACAATGGGGCTTTGTTGTCTATGTGGAAATTACCATTCCTTCCAGCTCAGTAAGAAGTCACTGGGAGACTGCTCCTCCCTCCTTAAAAGGGCTGTTTGCAGAAGAGGATATTTGCAAGGGAGTCTGAAGATTTTAGTGGAGGAAGAGTAACCCCATTGTAACAGTTTTTGACTCATTCATTAATAAGGAGAGGCCGAAAGGGAACCCTTTCTCAGCTTGGCACGCCTTATCTGGATTGAACTATTGTCATGGTGGTTACTTAGACCAGATAATTCTGAATTTGAGAAAGGTACAAATGTCAGACTTTTGAATGGTTGTTGCCAAGGTTGTAGTGAAAGGCCACACCTCCATTGATGGGAGTGAGTTTTCACCCTATGGATAATCTCACTGTCAATCATTCTGGGGAGAAATGAATCCTAGGAGGAGATGTGAGGGCCTGAGGGGACCCGCCACAGAATAGCGGGGAGGGGAAACCTCTGTTCTAGGAGGTCAGGGATCATTCTGGTCTAGATTTGAGGTTGTCATTGCCACCTGGAGTAGCATTTCCATAGGAGTGGAATTAGCGCTGGGAAGTGGGTGCTCGCCAGGAAGATAAAAGAGGAGGCAGACAGGGATTCCGGATGGCTTCTGTACTGAGCGGCAATACAATATTTACTGATTCCTCTTGACTTAAACTTTCACCTCTTGGCAGAATTCACTTTTGTGCCATAAGAATTACTTAAACCAATCTTTTACTTGGTTTTAGTTTAAGCTTCTTTTCGTAAATTTCTCTGTTCTTGGTAGCAGATTTGTCCCAAATATTATACAGTTGTCCTAGCAGTATTTTACAGGAGGTTTGAGGAAATCCACACTTGCCATGTCACCGTCCACGTAAGCCACAGAAATGAGTGGGTGTGTGAGACCAGCACCTGTTGATGCTGAGTTGTGCAAGGCAGCCTGGCTCAGTGTGCCAGGGGGAAGCTCCCAACTCTTAAGACCAGTTACTCTTTCCACTGCCAGAGAATCCTCCTAGGTATAATACAAACAGAGAGCTCTTCTTAATTATCCTAAGCTTGCTTTTTGCTGAAAATGTTATTATACAATTCACCTGAATTCTTGAAGTTTAGTTCTTTTGTCTAAAACCACTTCCCATTTTTGACTCTTTGTTTTTGCTGTTCTTCCCCTTCAAGCCAAGAACATAATAAGGGAAAATAATAACTGGCTTTCCCATTTTGGTTCATTATCCTTTTAGCAATGACTTCCAACTGACTTTGCAGTTTGATAAGATACTAAAATAAAGACTTCTTAGAAAAGCTCTTTGTCCTTTATAACGTCTCGTGATGATTTAAAATAGATTTTATTACAGAAGGCATCCAGGTCTAGCTCTATTCAAACTGAAGCTCATATTTTAAATCTATCTTATATATGCTCAACAAACTTAAATTATAATATACATATGAAAAGTATAAGCAATTTATCTCCAAGTCATATTTATGTAGTAATTATAATTTCCCATAAAGATTCTCTTTTAAATTAAAAATGTATTGCTTTTTGTTAGGACTTAGACTCATAGACTCATGGTGGACAAGCAAATATTATAACAAAACAGGAAATTCCAAAATCATTACTAATACTACATGTAGTTATTAATATTCATAGTGTACCTAGATTTTGCAATATAAATTAGAAATATCCCTGATATACTTTCTTACTGTATTTCTGAAATAGACTATTACAACTTTTTTTTGTAGAAGCTAAGAATGGAAGCTCAGAGAAATTGTCATATAGTCAGTAGGCTTACCGATATCCTCTAGTGCATGGCACAGCCCAAACAAACAGAGGATAGCAACTTTATAGTTTTAGTTATTTGGCGGTCAGTCATAATAAGGTTGGATTCTAGTTAATCTGAAGATAAAGTTGAAATCATATAAAAACTAAGAATACTTAAAGAAAAACACTTCAAAGACTTTTATTCCCTAAGTATCAGGGAAAGCTATATTAAGGCATAAATGAGTACATTAATAATATACAAACGCACCAAAAGTGACAATTCCGTAACATTAGTTAGTCACCCCTTTTACACATTGAATGATGGTTCTCTATTTCTTCCAGGACAAAATTCAACCTGTCGTCATGGGTTGCCATGAGCCATCTTTCTAACCTAATTCCCAACCACAGGAGTTTTTCCATCCAGCCGTTCTGGGCCAACCCCTTTCTGCTTCCTTAAAGTGGGAAGCTCTCACAAGTCTCTCTATAGCTTCTCCTGTCCTGTTGCTGTTGCATTTTCCCCAGAACATTCTCCCATCCTTCTCTTTTCTCTGCTTTTATCTCAAACATCTTTGCTTCTTTAAAGCCATCTTCAGCTGAGTTAGATCTTCTTCTCTAAAGTTTCTCAACACGTCTACCTTTACTCTAATTCTTCAACCCTTTACTCTTGACAGTAAATTTGAAATGAGGGAGGGAGATTGGTGTTAGCATTTCTTTTCCTCATCAGTTTCAGGAAATCGCCTTCTGTTTGTGTTGGTAAAGGCTGGCTGGGGCTGGAAGAGACTGTGAGAAGTTTTCCTGGAGGTCGTGGTTGCAGGGAAGGTTTAGAGGATAGGAGGTGAAAACCCTGGAACGGAGTTTGGAGAACTCTCCCTGAGAATGGAGGGGCTCTTCCATATGGAGATCTCCACTGATGGGTGCCTTGGGCGCTTCAGAAACTTGCACTGGGAAGCTAAAGGTACAGCGTCTGAGTCCTGAGAGCTAAGCTTCACGAGTTTCAGGGAAGCCCAGACTTTAGGGAACACATGGCTTAGTCTATTAGAGGTGACCAAAATGGGATGAGTGAAAGCAATAATCCTCTCTCCTGTTTAAACTGGACTGTCTGAAAGTCCTTACCTCAAAACTTTTGAATGCACTTTGAGGAGCAGCAACAAATATCTGAGAGAGATTTTCTCCTGAATCCATGGAGGCTTAGAGGACATAAAATTCAGTTTAGAGAGAAATAAGGGAATATGGGTTCCCTAATGTTATAAACTATATCCCTATTAAAAATCTATCATAATGTACTAGAATGATTGCCTTTCTTTCCTCCTAGACTTCAAATTGTTTTGGGCAAGAACTGGGTTTTGTGCTTTTCCTTTGCTCCATCCCCTTGTACAATGCTTGGTTGACTTTGGGCCCTGATAAATGTTTGTTGAATGATGTTGAATTTGTAAGCCTCATTTCAGAGTAGAAAGTTTTGCATGGTAGATATTCCTTTGACTGCAACCTGAAAAATTTCATGTTAGTATAATTACCATGTAAGTACTAAGCCAACATCTCATAACAAATTCTTTCTTAGAAGGCTTATATAACTGCACAAAATTGGCAGTAAGTAAAGCTCTGAGTGTAATCATTCATACTTTGGGTGTGTAAAAATGGTCAGATCAGAATTTTTTACTTGGTTTTAATTTCTGTCACACCAAATGCCAGTTTATTCATGTCACTTGGGAATAATTTTCCTCCCGTCGTTTATTTTATCATGTTAGCCAAATTTGGAGAGAATGCAGTACGTGTATTTTGTTTTAACCTGGAGACATCGCCCAGAATTTGTTCCGAAGTTGAAGGGCGGATCCGCTGATCCAATGACAAGGGTGTTCTTGGCACCCAGGAGGGCCTGTGTTGGGGCAGGGATCCCTGCAGGCAGATTGGGCTCTGCAGTGGGTATGCGCCGCTCAGCGCCGCCGACGGGGACGCCCCAGAGACGATCTGGGCGGCGAGGGCCGCGCTGTGGGCCGGGCAGGGTGGCAGCGCCGCGGGGCATGCGAGGGGCGTGGGACTGCCGGCAGAGGGGGGGCCTGGGACCGCTTTCCCGAGAGTGAGCGCCCCGGAGGCCGCCGGGGAGCGGAGGGGCAGGCTCGGGCAGCTCCCCAGCGGTGATAAAACTTGAGAAATAACAAGGAGGGGCCTCTCGGCGTCTCCTGGGTCCAATCCCGTCTCGGGAGCGAAGACGCTCCCGGGCAGGCAAGCCTGAGAGAGGCCGAAGAGACTTAAAGCCAAGCAGAAGCGAGAGAAGCTCCTCCCGCACCCCTCACCTGCGCGGGTCTCTCGGCATCCCCGGCTCTGCTTCCCAGCCCTGCGCCCCGATGGCCGCCGCCGGGCCCCGGAGCTCCCTGAGCCGAGCGCTCTGCAGGCAGCTGCTGCTGACCCTCTTGGTGAGCCGCCCCCTCTCAGACGGATCCGGGATGCGGAAGGCGGGGGCGGGTCCGCCTGGTCGCGGTAGGGTGGGGTGGAGGACGTAGCGGGCCGAAAGGCGACATCTGCAGCTCAGCTTAATCCCGCGCGGCAGGCTCGAGTCCCACGTTCGAGCCTGGAGGGGTGAAGAGACGAAAGGAGTCTTGCAGGGACGACTCGGGATTCAGCTTTTCGTTGTGGGACGCGAAACCCGCGTTCGATTGTTTGAACTGACTCGCGCCCGGGCTTCGCCGCGCTCTGGCGGGCGTCTCCGTCGGGGGCGGGCAGGGTTGGGAGCCCTGCGCCTCCCCTGGCCCCGGGGCTGGGCTGGCGATGGTGACTGGGGGCGCCTTGAAGGAAGAAGAGTGTTTTTGGTCAGTTACTTAGGATCTCTGAGCCAGCGAAACAACAGACGAGAGATGGGGTTCCCGGGGCTGCCTCCGCCCAGGTCCCAGTGGATCTCGGATGGCTCGTTCGCGCGGGGAGCGGTCGGAGCCGTGCGCCTGGTCCCAGCCCGGGGCTGCCTATGAGAAGCGAGTTTCGCGGCTTCGTCTCCCCTAAAGGTTATTTTCAGGAGCTTGTCCAAGCCGTCCACCCCCGCCGGCCACCCGGTCGGGGGCGGGATGTGCCTGGGGCGAAAAGGAGTGGGAAGGCTGGGTAAGGGGTGGGTTGGCGTCGCGGTGTGCTGGGGGGGTGCGGCGGGGGGTGGGATGGGCTGGGCGGATTCCTACCTGGGATCGCTCGAGGGAGGAGTGCGCGGGCCCGGAGCCCGGCCAGGGGTCTCCGGGGTCCCAGAAACCTGCCCTGTAGATCTGGAGAGGAAGTTAGGGAAATTCTCGGAGAAGTCAGGAGACTTGAAGAAAAAACCGGGAAGCTTCAGACTTGACCAGGGTCTCGCTCACGACAAGTAAAAAGAAGCCACCGACTTGCAACTTCCCCGCATCCACGGGTGGGCCTGGGGTCCGGTGGTCCCCATAGAGAGGTCTGTGTCCGCCGCGGGAGTGGGGCGACTCCGGCCACGCGGATTCTACCGCTTCCTGGCCCAGGGCTAGTGTCCCCAAGCTTTGTCCTCGCTTTGAATCAGAGAGTTAAGAATATGGGGTCGGTAGTTATGATCTACGAGGCATTATGGACAAGGAATTGTGTAAATAAGCGCATCCATCTGCCCTGGAACTGCTTCAACAAAACACCCGAGCTGATGAAATGACTCAGTAAGTGGGGACTGCTCACAGGTGTGTTCTTTTGCGATGTATTTGAAAGCATTTCCAGCTTTTCCACGTAAAAGCGTGAATTTGGTGTTTCGCGGTTTCTCTGCGGAGAGATAAGGGAACGGCAAGAAGAAAGTGCTGTGCTGTCGGGATTTCCCGTGCTCGCTCGAGGGGAGGGCGTGGAAGTCAAGGAGCTGTCTCCGCGCGGGTCGGGGGTGTCGGGGTGTGGCAAGGCAAGAAGGTGCCAGTAAATCTAAAGCGAGAAAGCTTCAGCTCTGATCTGTGACATACTCATTTCGGATTATTTTTTAAAAGAATATCATAAAGTTTAGATTAAATGGTATATCTGGAAACGTAAATGCTGGAGAGTGTAATAGAATGACAACTTCTTTCATCTGCAATTGTCATTTTACAAACGCTTCCAATTTCCGTCCAGATGTGCAAATTAAGACCTGTAGTGACTATCTCATGTCTGTATTTCTTTCCTTTTGACTCATATGACTCTCAACTTTTCAGTATAATGTTAATGACCTTGCACTTCAGAAACATTTTTTATTTTATAGACTTTAATGGATCTCTTAAAAACATTGCTTGTTCTAAGGCAAGGGCTTTTCAAAGCAATTCCTTAACACAGATCTGAGACTTCGAACCTGTTAAGCCTTCCCCTGAGTTGTCCCTTAGGTTAAGGAATCTTCCCAATTTGCACTTTTCTCTTCCTGAATCTCTTTCCCACCCCCGTCCCCAGCCACACTCTAAACTGCAAATACAGTTTCCAGTAACCACCTGCACAGAGAAAAGAAAAGAGTAGGGGAAACAAGAAAAGAAGCATACAAGACCATCTCCCTATTGTTTTAAGTTTTTTGAATATCTCTGAAAGTGTTTTGTCCTCCTAATGTAACAAAACTTGTTAGGGCTGGTGAAAACTAATTTGCATTAGTGAGTTGTCTTTTGCCTGTTAGAAAGAATGAGATCCTTTTTAATATGTGTTAATACTGTTCTTATCAAATCCACCTCAGGAATTATGTTATCTATTTTATGTTGTAAATGATGTGTACGTGGACACAGCTAACCCACCATTTTGTTAAAAGGGCTCTTTTTGCAAAGGAACTAACATTTGGAATAACTCCCCTCAAATCCGTACTTTTCTTCCTTGGAGTATATGAAGTCTACCTGCAGCCTACGTTTATAAATGGGCATATTATCTTTTCTGATTTTATAGAATTAATTAATGAGAATAATGGGACTCCCTACCAGAAATACTTTTTTTTTGCTCTTGATATATTCATCTTTTTAAAATAAAAGGGAGTATAGTAATTTCTATTGACTTTTACATTTGTGAAAAAAAATTCAGGCAAATAAAAGAAGTAAATGAGAACTAATTTATTTCAGAACTACAAATTTAGGGAAGTCAAAGTTTTAGGATATGCGTATTCAGACTGATGTATGATCAGCTACCTTTTTAAAAGGAAATTGTTCATGTTCATATTGAGATACAGTTACATCATTAAGCACCTTCTGAATAAGTAAATAAATGTAAGCTCTTGCACATTTTTTGGTCCTGTTGTAATCCTTATGGCAGTTCTGTTCCATATATGGCATCTGTGGTGACCTGTGATTAATCATACTTTCTATCTAACTAGAATTCCCATCTTGCGATGTCTTTGGGTAGAACCACCCATGATTTATTAGAATCATTTAAGTATTGAGAATACAGAGAGGTAAATCTTGCAATTTACCTTTGGGGTAGTAAGAATTTGAAAAGTAATATTTCCATTTTGTAGAAGGCAAGTGTCCACAGGAGAGATAGAGTTTAAAATTCTGTAATTACTGTGCTCAGTCAAGAATTCTCCTTTGTATTTCAGACACTCCGTAAATCTCCATTCTTTAGCTTCTTTTTCCTCTGTTGAAGAAGGGTGCTATTTTAGAAAGCCCACTTTTGTGAATTCACTATAAAATCAAACAACAACGTAAAAGTGAAACGATTGCAGATAATCCTTTAATTTTCACTCTCTCTTTAGCATTAGATTTTTCTATCAGGATTTAATGATTTTTCTGATAAGCTTTATGTCATATAATTAATAAAATTTGCATACTGCTATAAAATATAGCAAAGCAATTTATTTTTTCCCAGGCTGTAGTAGGCAATCATTTTTAAAAACTTAATGTATTACATTTTAAAGTGTGGCCACTCTTCTATATAGAAGTTATTTTAAAAAATACTTTTAGAGGTTATTAGCTCATTATTATTAATATAATAATGCCTTTACATGTTTTACTTGATTTTATTTTCAATAATACTCCAACCCCCACAAAAATATTGTGGCAAATTATAGTTTCAAGAAGCATATTATAACTGAAATCTATGTATGAACATTACTTCTTTCAAAAATTACGTTAACGAATTCATTGTTCATTCTTTCCAACGATGCCTTATATAACAATACAAATGAATGAACTAATGCAGTGTACTGAGTATACAGTATATACAGTATATACATATACAGCTGAGGCAGTAGTACAGATGCATTTCACAAACATAATATTGAGCAAAGGGAGCAAATTGCATGCAATTAGCATATGACTACATATATTTAAAAGGCAAAAAGTGGTAAAAATAAAGCTGTCTTCTTTAGGGATATATACACATGGGATAAAAATAAGCAGAGGCAGGGAAATAAAATGATTAACTTAAAAATCATCCATCAGCGGTTACCTGAATTTTGGGAGTTGAAGGAGGGAGGGAAATGCAATTGGGTAAAGGGGACTTTAATATATGGAGACTTTGAAAATGTTCTACTAGGAAATGTTCTATTTCCTAGTTTTGAAGGTCGAGTACCCTAATGTTCATTTTATTATTTATTAACACACGCATATATATTATGTTTAATCTTGTGTATTATATTTTACAAAGAACATTTAAAAAGAAAAGAAAAAAGCAATAGGATTGACAAAACCAACAGCTCTTCTTTGAAAGTATAGACAAACCCAGCTATGATTGAGCAAGTAAAAAGTAGAGAAGGCATAGATAAAGCAATATAAGGAATAAAAAGGCACAGTTATGGAGAAGACAGTTGTTAAAAAGTAATATTAGTAGTAGGTAATGCCAGTTAGTTTGAAAACAGGCAATTTCCTACAAAATGCAAATTACTGACATTGACTGGAGAAGGTAGACAACATCTAAATAGATTTATAACCATTAAAGAAATTCAGCTGGAAGCCAGATGTCTCCATACACACACTCCTTTCCATCCTCTAGTCTCAGACTCATGATAGGTGAATTCTTTCAAAATTACATGGTACAGATTGTCTCTACCTTATATAAATTGATTCAAAGAACAGAAAAAAATGGAACTCTTCTTAACTCATAAGGATTGTATGAAGCTGGAAGACAGTAGCCTGATCTCATTTATGGACATATACGAAATACTGAAATAAATTGCAGCAAACCAAACCAATAATGTATTTAAAAAATCATCATGTCCATGTAAGGTTTATCCCAGGAAAGACGATTTGACATTAGGAAATGTATTATTGTGCTTTAACATAGTACTATATTAATAGAGAAAAACTGTGGTCATTTCAAAATAAGTGGGAAAATTTTATTTATTGTTTGTAAAAAAGAAATCTTAGGAAGGCCAGGTGTGGTGGCTCATGCCTTTAATCCTAGAACTTTGGGAGGCCAAGGTGGGAGAATAGGTTGAGCCCAGGAATTTGAAACCAGCCTGAGCAATATAGCAAGACCCCATCTCTACCAAAAATAGAAAAATTGGTGG